CCCCAAAAAAAAAGAAAGAAAAGAAACTTAGGTTGCTTAACTTAAAAGCTGGAAATGGACTGATGAGCTTTACATGGGGATTATCAGTTTCACAGAATCCTGGCCCAGAGTTTGAAGTCATCTCAGAGAAGTGCATTAAAGAGCAAGTGAGACTAGCACTTGCCTAGGTGGTCCCATCAGTTTTAGTTTTGTAGAAAATGTTTCTAGTATCCTGTGAGAGGGAACTGCACAAAGGGAGTGTGTTGGGGGTCATTCCCTCTGCATTAGCAGCTACAGTATTTTGATAGCTGTGTATTTTGACATAATGAAGATGTTTTCCCCTTCTTCCTGTTCTAAAGTGCTGGCAGTACCTTTTGTTACTAAAATGTTGGTTTTCTTTTCCTCTCTCAGGATGATGGCCATCTTAACACATGAAGGAAAAGCCTGAAAGAATGTATTTGTTTGCAGCAGAAGAGATAAAATCAAACCATTGATTTATAATTAAATTATTTTCTTCCTCTGGCCAAGTACAGGAGGCTGAGGCTGGGTGGCTGCCTCACACTGCAACATGCAAGAACAGGTGCTCCTCCCCTGGGAAGGAGGGGAGGTGGAGTAGCAGGATAGAGGCACTGAGAGGTAATAAAACTCTGGACAACTCATTTGAATTTGGATTTTCTTTTCAGCATTCCAGTTGCTATTACAGGAGGGTTTCAAACATGCATGTAATGCCTAATCTGGGTGTTGCTTTACAGTCTATAAAGGGTCTGACTTGATGCATTTTATTATGTACAAGGTTAATAGGCCTGAGAAGAAAGCCCGTTAGCCCTTTAAGAAGCAAAGGAGGCTGAGATTACCTGCCAATAGATGCTAAGCAAGGACTCTTTTCATCAGTTCAGGCTGGGGTCCCTAAGAGAAGGACCTAGATAATTTTTTACTAAAGGAGGCTGGGAAAACCTCACTCAAGGCTAGGAGAAACTGGTGGTTTTTTGTCGTGTTAGCCTGCTCTAATGACTGAATGTAACTTTCTAAAAAGCTGTTACTAGACTGTATTCACTTCTCTCTGGTGCTCATCACCTCCATGATCCACTGTGCAGCTTTTCCTGTTCCGTAACTTTTCAAAACTGAGGACCAATGAAGCAAAAACTTTGCTCTGTTTCTAGAAGCAGGCCAGTTGAGCAGACTTTGTCATCATTGATCATTGCTAGACTATATAATTAGCAGACTCTGGGATTGGCAGGGGTGCAGCACCCCCAAAATCAAATCTATGGTATTTAATATCATCTATGAGGCAAAATGAAAATGCTCATTTTTCTAATTAACAAGAGCCCTTCCTGAGAAACAATTTCACTTGGATAGAAACAAACATTTCCTCTGCTGTGTTTGAATGTAAAGTCAGTGTTACTCAGTGACACTTTTCTAAACACTGCAGTTGAGTATAGGAAACTCACTTCTTCAATAAATGGTTCCACAAAATCTCATTCAAAGTCAGTTAAAGTTTTGATTGCCTTCAATAAGGCCCAGAGCAGGGTTTTTATAGTATGTTTATAGTGTGCACACACATGCACATATGTATCTCTCAGATGTGTATATTATGTATGTATATCAGAGAGTCTATCAGGCAAAAAGACTATTGTTCCTTCAAATAAAATGATAAATCATTGTAGTAATACATGTGAGTAGGCTTCTATGTCAGTATATGTTTGTGTGTGTATATATATTTGTGTGTTTGTACACATGTACATGTGTACACACACACAGGCACACACTGACATGGAGGCATACACACGTGGATTTCTACAATGATATATCACTTTATTTGAAGGAACAATCATCTTTTATATGCTCTTCCAGTCACTAAAGGCTTTTGCATGTAGCACCAGGGATATAAGGAAATCTGTTCCCTGTGTCTGGTAACAGATTCACTAGCTGTATTAATAGATAGGATTAGCAAATAAGAACAGGTCAGAGGACTCAAAGCTCTTTCTTGTCTCTTCAGATTTCCTTCTTTAGTTTATCAGTCTCTGTGCACAGCTTCCTAGAAGACAGGGAGAAGAAGTTTAAGGCAAAAGCCATTTTCATTTTAGTGGCCATTTGCAACTTACTACAGTTGAAACGGGCAAGTTCTGGGTCACAGGCTTGGCTGAAAATGTCTCTCCAGTTTTCTCCACAGGCACCTTGGAGGAACAACAACATCACCTCTCCAAACAGGGAGGCTGCTGTATCAGAACAAGGAGAGACTATTATAGGCTCCTACCTATTGGCTTTAGGTATGTACTATATCTAAGATGCCTGGTGAATTTAAACTCCTTTAAAAGTTTGGTTTAAAGTTTAAAGGTGTTGCCTCTGGAGTTCATTGATAAAGAAGCAAGATAACATAAACTGCAGCCTTTTTCTTCAGCTGTTTCAACAGCAAGGAGTAGCACTGTTTCTTTAGGAATATAATAAATGATCAGTGCAGCAACATGTTTACTGGTGGCAAAAGGGTAAGATCTTGTAGGCCAAGATATTCTTTTAATGTTCAGGAAGCGTGCAAAAAGAAAAACCTTGTGGAGAAAAAATATAACATTTCCTTATCTCCTCAAAATGCCTCAGTACAAGTGAAATAGTGTTCTGTTATTTCCAGAGTTTTAGCTTCTACTAATTGAAGTTTCCTCTTTCATAAACTGATTGACCTTCATTCAAAAGTAAGTACTAAGGTTTTTTGCTCCTATTTGTGCCTGTTGGATACTGTTCTAAAACTTCAGTCCACTGATAGTTAAAAACCTTCTTCTAATTCTACTTATTTTTTCTAATATCTTATGCACCTTGAAAGAAAGCTTATTTTGATCAGATTCTATTAAGCAGACTACTAGACCATTTTAATAAATAGTAATCCTGAAGTCTAAATATATATTATATGCAAGTTACCTAGCAAGATCATATTATAAGGTCATATTAAGACTTTGAAAATAAAATATTATATGACCTCATTTTGTTTCTGAGGCAACTTCTGAAATATTTATATTAGACTCGGTGCAGAATGATGAATAGTTACAGCATCTGTTATTGGATAAGCAAACTTTATGGAATTTCAAAGACTGTAGATGTACCAAATAACACTCATATCATATGGAAATGCAGAAAAGGTCACTTTTTCCAGAGGATTATTTGCAATGACTTAGGCTTATTTTTATCAATAGTGATGTGTTTTAAAAAATAAATGAAACTACATATTAAAGATGTGTATAAGGAGATCTCAGTAACAACAGAGAAGTACATACGTATACAAATTCAGAAGCAGGTTTGTAAATTAGTCAAGCTAAGTAGACTTTTCATTCTCTGAGCTTATCATATATTCCCCAAGTACCACCAAGAACTTGCAAACCACCAGCTGATGCTGGGAGAAGAAACCATGTAGCCATCATGAAGAGGCTGTTCAGCTTAGGGTGCATAAGCCAAATTCATGTATAATCAGGTGTAACATTAGTCAAACTAAGGCGTATTATGGATGTGGGGAAAATGTACTGAGGTGAACACTTTTGCATATGGAACTTTGCTAAAAATTCTCTTGACATTATATCAACCAAAAGAGTCCCCCTCTCACTTTCCCATTGCCACATTGGCTCGGCTTTGCGGTAAGGCTCTGCAAAACAGCACCATTCTGCTTTGACTTCCATTTCGATGGAACAGTATTTTATTTCAGTTTTGTTTCATTTTGAAAGCACCATTCCATTTCATTTTATCGAAACTTTCGCAGTTTGGACGCTGTTTTGATGCTTCACCCACAGGCTATTCTGCACCCAGCGTCAGGAAGATCAGTCCAGCTGCTGGCCCCAGCCCATACCCAGCGCCAAGAAGATCAGTGGGGGGGTGGTAGCAAGAGGCCAAACGTGAAGCCGACAGCAGTGATGCAGAGTAGCCACGGCCACTCCGCCTGGCTCCACAGGGCCCCCCAAAGCACGGGCTCCACAGGGCCCCCCCAAAGTCACCTGATTCACCCCCACCAGGGATGGCCCTGGCTGCCACTGGCCCCAGGAAGCAGAACCAGCTTCCTGTCATCCGGCAGGCATATCAATGCCCTGCACCCCAGGAGTCCGGCACAGCCCTGCAACCCTCCTGGGGTGTGGGCGGGCCCCCAGTCTGCCTGCTGGATGACAGGAGGCTGCTGCTGTGGTGGGACTGGTGCTGAAGCCAAGTAAGCCTGGCTTCAAAACTCAAAACATTCAGAAACTTTTGAAATGTTTCAAGGGTCCTTGTTTCATTTCGAAGCTGTTTTGAAGGCTTTTGTTTCATTTTGATTTTGCTGTTTCAAGCTCAAAACGCATCAAAACAGTTTCAAAATGAAACACCAGATGAAATTTTGTACATCCCTACTTTGCAGTGCTAAGAGTGGAAACATATTTATATCATTAAGTCAACAAATATAATTTAAAAAGCCCAAGGAAGCAGTACCCCGGCATAAGAAGGTCCTGTTTTTTACACTTGCACTCTTCTGATAGTGGAGTCAATCAAAGACCTCTAGGGCTACAGTGCTAAATTGCTACTGCTGTTGCTGCTCTTCGGACCCTAATTGCTATTCAAAGAATATAGCTTGCTTTGGAAAGATGATAGTCCAATGCATAAATATTATATTCAGGTCTCTGGATTTCTCTAGGGCATCTTAAAAGACTACCTGCTTAGGAAGTATCCTGAAGGTTTATATTTAATATCTAGCAGTTATGGTACAGCATGGTATTTGCTAATGGAGGTGCCCTTACTCTCTTGGGAACAAAGATTTCAATTAAGCTGCTGGCTTGTTATAAAATAAATCTTCTACCACACATGTATCTGAGGGATGTTAGCACTCCAAAAGCTGTACCCAGGACTCAGTCTTACTCCCAAAAGACATCAGGACACCTAATAATCTGTACACCTCCACAAAACAAAATGCAAAAAGTTAATTTTTGGGGAGGCCTAACCAAACAAACATGCCATAAATCAAGCAAGTAAATATCCGTCCCTTCTTACAGGAAGAGAGATAATATATTTGTATATGTTCAACTTTTGGAGGTCCTTGGACATCATGATGATGAATGTCATATATAGAATCATAGAATCGAAGGCCAGGAAGAGATGGGACCTGCAAGATCATCCAGTTTGGTCCCCTGGCACGGGCAGGAATTTATTGGGCTTAAATGAGCTCAACAAGGTGCTTATCCAGCCTCAGCTTCAACACCTCCAAGGATGGCGAATACACCACCTCTGCTGGGAGTATGTTCCAAATTCTGGTAACCCTTACAGAAAAAAGATTTTTCTTATGTCCAGCCTAAATTTCCCCTCTATTAGCTTGTGCTCATTAAGTCCTCATCCTCCCTTGAGGTGTCTTCCTGAAGAGTCGCTCCTCTATATCTTCATGCTCACACCTAACGTACCTGTAGGCAGCAATCAAGTCACCTCTCAGTCTTCTCTTACTCAGACTGAACAGGCCCAGTTCCCAGAGTCTCTCTTCATAGGGCCTATCCTCCAGGCACCTAATCGTATGGGTGACCCTTCTCTGTACCCTCTCAAGCTTATCCACATCCTTATTGAAGTGTGGTGCCCAGAACTGAACACAGTACTCCAGCTGTGGCCTCATCAATGCCAAATAGAGGGGGAGAAACACCACCCTGGATCTATTGGCCACACATCAGCTGATGCACGACAGAGGTTTGTTTGCCTTTCTGGCAACCTCAACACACTGTTAACTCATGTTCATCTTCCAGTCAGTTGTAACCCCCAGGTCCTGTGCCAGCCAGTGGACCACCACTCATCATGTAGTTACGGTGAAGGTTCTTCCTACCCAGATGAAGAACTCTGTACTTCTGCCTGTTAAGCCTCATCTGATTCCCTTCCACCCATAAAGACAGTCTGTGAAGGTCATCCTGGATCTTTACCCTAGCCTCTGATGTGCCCATGTTTCCCCACAGCTTTGTATCACCCGCAAACTTAATCATTGAGCTTTCCACCCTCTTATCCAAGTTGTTAATAAATATGGTAAAGAGCACAGGTCCAAGCACAGATCTCTGGACAAAAACTGGGGTTTTCTTAAATTATATTAAGTTCTGACTGTGAACTCCTCTTGTTGCCACCCAGAAACGTATAGATCACAGGGCCACTTGTAATGGGAATCACAAGCCAAGGTTATGAGCAAATAAGAGTAAAAAAGCCAGATCATCTGCACATGTGACAGTGCTGTTTATATCTATCAAATGATTTTTGGCATGCCAGCCACTATTCCCAACTTTCACATTTAAGTAACACTTCACTTACAGGGCTACCAGAGTGGAAAAGTATGAGGTGACTATTCTATAGCAATTTACCATTGGCAGAAATCCTTGCAGTTCCTTAGTATGGATTAAGTATTTGTGTTAGCTATGTAACTTTGGTATTTTCTTTCATTAGTTTAATTTCTTCAGCATCTCACATTAGACTCAGTCTTGAAAAAGTGAAACATTTTGTCTGCATTATCTTTCCAAATTCTTGTCGTCAGCTTAGTCCTGCTTCTAAAAGATGAATGGGTACTTTTCCATTGCTAAAATGTCATTCAGAAGATGTGTGCCCTGCCACCTCATCCTTGCAATAGATGGGCTACACACCATTGAAAAAAATAATTCTACTCATTTGTACTAGAGAAGAAGCAGGTATACAGTATTGGAAAAATCATTTTAAAGTTTAAATCACAGAGCACTATTTAGATTTGCTACCCAGACATACTTGCTAATAGATCTGTCAAATGTAGAGGTGGACAAATACTGCAATATATTTTCCACATATATTTACTTGAATTGGTAAACAAAGTTCTCTGGTGACCTCCTCTGGTGACCTCTTGAGGTTCCCTCTGGCCATGTTTTTCTGTGATTCTATGTACTGGGTTTAGAAACAGTATGATCTTATCCATTGTAGTGTAGGGTAAGAACCAGGCTATGGACCCTTTATATCTGGACTACCTTAGTACTTCAATTCTAATTTTTAATTTACTTTTTTGCAAATCTCTTCAAGTGCTCCTCTATGCATCCCAAGTGGTAGAGATGGCAGAGCAAACAGTCTACTTAAGAGCTCCCTATGCCTCGGAGAGTGCCAGATACAAGGTTTTTCTGTAATTTTGCCACCTCAAATGCCTGCATTCGTTCTAATGTGATCCATAACCACTGTTCTCTTTGTTTCCCTCATCCCTCAGGTCTAAGATTTTTTTTTCTTGTAACTTGAAATCTGAGAGAGATTGGTGTTGTTCATGGGAGTAAGTCTCCTCTTCTTTCTTATTTATCCTTTA